AGGAAGGCTTTTAGAAACAAGCAAACACACCAAAACTTCATCAAAACGCCAGTTTTGAACTCAGTAAATGTTTCAGCAGACCATGTAAATGGCTGCTTAACTAGCTACCTGACAAGGAAAAACTCAGGAAAATGACTTTCAGTAAGATACAGCATATTTTTGGATCTGCAGCATAACCTTCAGTTAGAATCCTTCTGGGGGAAATCTCAGCCTCTGCCCCTTAGCCATCAGTTTCAGGCACCACCTTCTGTGTCTGACTAACGAAAGGGACAATAATATTTACAACAAACATGCTCATGAGGACAAGGAACTCCTGTCACTGCTGCAGTTCACCTGCGAGCCACCAACATGGGCGATAACCTTCACAGCGCTAAGGAGGCACCTCCAGCCCTGTTTTAAGCATTTAAGCCATCCATGCAGCTTAAATCACCCTGCAGTGTCCTGAGCTGGAATATGATCACAGACTGATCATACAGGGTARCCTACCAAAATCAATGACGTACAGACAGTTCTTTAGAATGCCTTCGCCAGAAAGTCAAGGCTCAGGGCTCCGTAGCTCTAAGCTGCCAGCGGCCTCGGCCTCCTTCAAGCRACATTGAAAACAACATCGTTCCCACAAAATTACCACCGCTAAAACCACTGCACGGGGCGGGCAAACATCCAGGTGATGCTCACTGCAAGTAACGGGACAAGGCGTTTCCTCTCCTTACCCAAATAAACGCGCTATAAAATCTATCTCCTTAAAGCCGAGCTAAGCGTAACCCAACCCCCGGACTGAAGCCCATCTTCTCAAGTCCCTAAAGCTCAGCACTCCGGGGAGCGAGTGGGCCGCTAAGACCTTCCCCCGACCCCGCAGGTCSCTCCGCAGCGCCCGGCAAGGGACGGCGGCCACCAGAGCTGAGTCCCGCAGCCGGGCGGGCACCCCGAGCGACCCCACACAGCCCCGGCGGCAGCGGGCCGYTCTCCCCGGGCCTCACCAGCACGTTCCGCCACATCGCGGCTCTTGGTCCTGTCACCTCCCGCCGGCAACAAGGGCAGCGGAACAGGAAGCGGCTCCCCCGCCCACGGCGGCGGCACCACAGAGGAGCGGCCCGAGCGCCGCCGCGCAGCCCACAGCGCCCCCCGCCAGTCCGCCCGGCTCGGCTCGGCTCGGCTCGGCTCGGGCACCGCGGCGGGAGGGGCCGCTGTTTGCCCGGGTTCGGGGCCCGGGAGCCGGGGCTGAGCCCTCATCAGCGGGAGGGAGGAGCGGTGGCCTCTCAGMACACGCAAKGCCGGCAGCGGCTGAGGGGAACCGGGAGCGCGTTTCCTCACGCCATMCAGCCCCGGCGGGGAGCCTGCTGCCACGGGACTCTGGGGGTGCCGGCCGCCTCCCTGCGCCTTCAGAGGGCGTTTCGGAAAATCCATGAAACGCTTCCCGGAGCTCCTGCATTCAGAATTTTAAATCTCCTTTCACCGAGAAGTTTAATATCCGCAGAGGGCGGGATGAGTGTCCTGGTAGAGCAGCACCCTAGGCTGCGTCCCTTCGTTCGGACTCCACTGCCAGAGCCTGGGGCCGACCCAGGTCAGGGGTTCTTGCACCCCTAGGTGGATAGGGCATTCTTTGTTGAATGATTTGTTGAGTGAACTACACTCACAAAACCCCAAACTACCCCATGCCCACTACCTCAGGCTCCGTTAGTAGCAGAGACACCGAGTACTCTGCACGTTGAAAAAAAAAAAAAAAAAAAAA